TCATACGCCATTCGTTCCCGCAGGATACTGGAGCCCATGTGCACCATTGATTTGGAATCCGGTTAAAGCGCCGGACATTCGCTTTTCGTCCTCTCATTTTCGTAAACAACACCCCCGCCACGAGAAGGCAATGAGTAGGACTTCCCTGGCAGAGGCTGTATACGCGTGGCCGTGTGAGAGTATTTCGAGAGGGAGAGCGGACTCTCCCCACTCTCGGCCGTACCAGGGCATTCAGGGGGCAATTTATTCAGTGAATACTCTTTAGCTGTATCTTATTTTAACTTTTAATGCTTAATGCTAATGACAGCCGTATTTCACAGAAATCCTACGCACAAATAAAAATATTCATCTTTAATATGTACATATTTTTCTTATTTAATAACGAAATCATAGTTATTAAATTTTTGTTTGAAATCAAGATTAAATTGGTGTCAGTCTAGTTACTATAGTAGAATAAATCCATATAATGCTTTGGTGGATACACTCTTTCAACCTGGAAGCCTGAAAGGATAAATTACCTAGTTTTCGGTTTTGGTAAGAAAGTTAAGATTCAAAGTCAATCTTAGTGGGTGTTGGTTTGTAGCTTTTAGTATGTTTGATGTTGAGGATACAGTACAAATTGTAAGACTAGCATAACTTCTATATCCAATACCAATAGTTAATAACTTTACAGCCGATCATTCTAAATTTAGAGTTCTATTAAGTTGTAATATCTAATTAAGTAATCAGTCAAGATTATGGTACTTAGTTATTGCATAAACCTGATAAGATTACGGCTGTAAAAATATAACTTAAAAGTTTTCCATAATTTTCGTAAATTCGTTTTGGAGCAGAATTTATATAGGATTTGTGCTGTTTATGCATTATCAGCAGTATATTCTACGTTGTTTTCTGGTCGATAAGCATCATTGGTTATGCACTTCTTTACGTAATTTAAGGATTATCGGATAATATTTTATGAATGAGAAGAATGGGTTTTGTGAGGTTTTACCACATTCATGATTCAATTAGATATTTCAGCCACCAGTCACTGAATAGAACAAGTGGTAGACGTAAAATGTGGAAACGAGTCAATCAGAATATAAAAAGTGCTTACTTACTGACGCCTGTTGCTCCTCGCGGAGGATGATTGGCCGACCACCAGGATTCTCCTCCAACGTCTGTCCTATGCAACCATTTCCAGTTGCTATTCATTCTTTTCATGACTGCTTCCAATTCCAGTCGCAATGTGTTCCTTAGTAATATAAAAAAGTACTTTCCCGATTTTGTACTAAACTCGAAAGTGAATGGCTTTTATATTATATCGCTCAACACACATGTAATAAAAGCACTGCTATATGGTCTTTGGAATGTCTGAAACGATAATGTAAAATGACTTTTGACATAGAATAAAAAAGGTGTTAGACTTATCAGATGCTCAATACTTTACATGTAGATTGTATAAAACGCTCAAATGTGTTTAAATCATAATCCTAAACTTTTAATCCTAACCTATACTCTAATGTTTAACCCGTAACCCTAATTATAAGCAATATTTGAACTCATCCAAATTTGTTTGGGTCCTTATGAATTTAGAGAAGACTTAACATCTAAACTCATATGGACTAGTTTATTTGTAAAACACTGATTTGTGAACAAAAATATTCTATTCAGTGCCTTATCTTCACGTCATACAGTTTTATATTCAAATTAATAATCTGAAAACTGGTAGGTTTAAGACAAAATATGTTTTATAAAATTATAGACTGTTTAGTGCAAACTAGTAATAGTGCTAGCATAAATCGGTGATTTTCAATAATGTGTCGGTTCAGCAATTTCTTAGTCAAGTATTGTTGTCTTGAGAGTGGGGTTTTGTGGAGATTATAGTATATTCATAGTTGAAATCACGAACTGATCTTAGCTGGGCCACCAAAGGTAAAAAATAAAGTATTAATTATGATCATGGACTTATTAATGCTAGATCACCATTGAAAACGCGTAAGCACTGGACGGCCTTTACTTTCTAGTATGGGGCTCCTCTGGAGTGGACATCCACGATCCCGGACGCAGAAATCGAACGCAAGATCTTCAGTCTCGTGAGCGAATGTTTAACTTCTAGACCAAAGGTCTCGGGTTCGATTTCGCATCCGGAATTGTGGATACTTACTATTATTGTCTTAGTTATTTTTAATCAAATATCTTTGCATTATTATTACTGGTTCAGTATTACTATTAATCTTCCGAACATATGAGTAGTTTAATTAGCACTCAACCCGCTTTATTATTTCATACTGAATTCATATAACTTTATACACGATATAATCTTCGACTGAACATTTGATTTGATTTGTGATTGCATTACTATTTCTTTTAATTTATATTACCTATATCTATACAGGTAATTAATTCCATAATTTCATTCAACGTATGGGCTTGTTCAAGTTAACACTGCATATTTTAGTCATTTCAACATTATTAATGTTATTTTATTTCAAGAACAATCTTAAATTTACTTGTTATAATTTTAAACAATGTATTATCCTTAAACATGGCCACTTTTGGAATTATTAATTTGAATATACAACTGTAGAACCTGAAGAGATGTTATTGAAAAGAATATTCTTCGTTCATATGTCAGCATTTTAATGTGATGCGGAGTCTTTAGTCGGACTATATATTTTCTTATTTTTTCAATTTACAAACAAAACAATATATAGAAGACATTGATATATTCATCATTCTTGTAAAATCATTTTATCCTTTTTTATAGTATTGTTCATTTCTCACGAACTATTTATTTATAAAAGCTGTTTTCTGATTGGTTGACAGATGGCTAAAATTCGTCGTGATTGTTTTAAGCTGAATGCTTTTAACATGAAATGTTTAATATGTGATCAAAAAACCTTGATAAATATTGTCCAAGGAATTTATAGGTAATTATTCCTTTTATCAAAAGTTAGTTGCTAGATGTATGTAAATAGCACGAACAGAACAGATGCGATTTGAATAGATTAGAGGATGCATACCAAGGTTAATTTACTGACCATCTAGACAGCCAAGGAGAAGTAGTCAGATGTCTCGTCCTCGTATATGACTCTTCAGGAGTTTGTACCAGTGACCTCACACAGGATCGAAGCTGAGACTTTCAGATCTGGCGGCCAGGAGGATAAAATTTGGTTACCATTTTGAAATCTAGTGGTTCAGATTTTCGAACACAGTTGATTTATTTTACAGCTCAGTGTTCCATAGGTCACAGCTGCGTGAAGAAAATTCGAGAAACCTACTGTAAAGCTAATATATAATAATTAACTATAACTTCCTAATTTCCAGTCGTCATCCAGGTAATGTTGTTTCATTATGAAACTAATGTTGAAAATATACGAAATCTGAACAAAATATATATTCAACACTGCAAGTAATCTTTGATTCTTTATTTGTTCACTTTGTAATACGTTTTTGCCACCTTCACTCTAGTTTTATTTTCATGTACACTCATTGCCTAGCTGGATAGCTAACAAGCGTCTATACATTCATCTATTATTTTTACTATCATCTTTGTATCTCCCAAATGAAAAAATGTCCAGGTGTTGGTCTGTTTTATTGGTTACATTTTCTGCTACACCAGTCACCTTTATTATTTCTAACATTGGAGATCATTTATCTATTCATCCAATATACTAGTTTATTCCAGATGTTTCATGATTAGTCTCAATCTCATATTTAGTAAACGTGATCATCTAGAACCGTATCATATTTCCTTCCTATTTAAGTAATTCTTATCACCACAAGCTGAGTAGGATAATATTCAGTTAGAATGGTTTTCGAACTAAGTATTCGCCATTTACATCCTAATAAAGTGTTGAATCTGTAAACGTTTTCTGAAAAATAGTATACCTATGCTAGTAGAATATTTGTCCACTTATTTGTGTTAATTATTCTCTTGCTACAGATTTATAAATGAAACTGTTGATGGATAGTAATCAGCTAAGAAAAGTTCAACCATAGCTTAACTATCTTTTCTTGATATTGATAAGTATGTGGTTTCTGTCATTGATTGGTCATCAGTTGTGGCATTAACGAGAGCTATGACCACTTGAATATTGTTTTGTCCCGGTTTCAGGCTCTTCAATGGTAACCACATGCAATCTGTTAGAGTCTGAACGGAAGATGTTTAGTTCTCGGGGCAGGTACTTAACATAGAGAAGACTGATCTGGAATAGAATAGCTAAAAATATCCAATTTCAATTGAGTGGGGATATATTGTTGTGGTCAACTAACTGTCATGTACTTACTAATGACTTTACTTGGCATCCAGCGATTACAGGAACAAATAATCATTATGAACTTGTCGAAGTCACAGATATGGATCGGTGGATTTAAACTCAGTGTTCTTAAGGTTAAACACTTGTCGCCGGACCTGACAGTTCTACATTTAATCATTGAGGGTGTTGTGGATGAATTTTCCTTAGGAATCATAAACCAGAATAAAAAAAACGTCATATACTCTCTAAGTTGGAGGGACACTCCAACTGATATCAAACTATTATGTAGAAACAGACAAATTAAATGTATCTACATAAAATCTATCGACTATAATAGTAATAATATTTTTTAATGTAAACCACATTAAATAAAAAATTAAGTGAATTTTATACGTCATCAGTTAGATGAATAATATGACCAATCACGTTTTCCGATTTCATCACCATTCACATAATAATTACAGTAATCATAATAGTTATAAAGTGTATGTATAGATTTATATATATATACTAATGGACAGAGTAAAGTTCAACTGATGTATACAGTCATAGATATAAATTAAATAAACTATAGATTAACTGTATTATCTCTTTATTGTTTACATTTATAATATATTTTTCTCAAAAAAGCAAACAGTAATTATCAAAGAATAATTACAGAAAGGCACATTGATTTATGAAATCAATATAATCATTGAAAGGAATTTCAATATTGTTTACTATTGTGAAAAAGCAAAATTTTATTCTGATCGAAAAGGGATGCAAGAATCTTTAGTTGATGAGATGAATATTCGTCGACGTCATGATGAGAAAAATATGAAAACCACATCATCACAATCATCAAATAATTTAAATTTACAATTGAAAGAGTTTAAAATAACGGAACAAACTAATTCCAATAGTCCAGATAATGATAAGCATAAATTTGTACATGATGTTGTCTGGTGTGATTTAGCTGAGCAATTTCGATTGAATTTAATCACACAGTTAGATGAACATCTAAAAGTATCATTGAATGATCTAGTAAGTACAGCAATTTCAAGAGATAGTTATCTACAAAATACACAAGCACTTAATGACTGGATGACTGATAAGTAAGTTACTTCTATTTAGTTACATCTATTTCTTATTATTCTTACATGTGTATATGTGTGTATTGTTTTTTATATGATTAAGTTAAAGATGATTTATTTTTCCAACTTATCATGTTGTCGAACGGTGTTTTCTCTTGTATTATTATTATTATTATTAATTAGCACTATGTTTATAAAATTTAGGCTCTCAATAAAATGAAAATTTCTGACTGTTGAATAATACCAAGTTAGAATGAAACAATTGACAAGTAGTTTAATGATTTCCATTTCTATTCTGTCTTAGTTATTTAAATGAGTTTAGATTCAATTCAACAAGTCTATAATGTTGATTAGTGATAGAGCAGTCGACGGATGTAAAGTGACCATTGAATCGTAGCATTTTATGAGCATCTGATTTTTACCTGTTGATACTGAGCAATAACAGCATAACCACTGATTAAAATAAATTTAAAATATCAAGACATTCAGTGTGGAAAAACGTCATTTTTTATCATGTATTGTTCAATTGTTATATTTTGATTAACATTTTCACATGAATAGACATATTCAGTAATATAGACTCTAAATTAAATCAACGAATAAATTTAATTTTAAAGATCGTTTTTAATTCCCAGGGAGAGCAAACAAATAGCTTTCATGACTATTAATTAGTATAAACTATTTAATACCAGGAAATATATATATTAAATATTGATTTGAATGAAATGATTCTTGTAAAGTCCTTAAAGCCAAGGAACTGCCTCAGTTAAAGTGAACAAACATACTCCAGATATTCATCTGCTTTGTTGTTTTATAAGATGTAAATTAAGTAAGTAAAGTTCACAAGTTGTGTTGAAATGGTAACTATTCCTTAAGATGACACAAAATTTTGATTACGTCACTTTGTTTTACGATAACAGACTCATTTTTACGTCATATCTTTGACTCTTTACCAAAGTTCCCATTTAGACTAATTTTAAAAAAGGATGGTTTGCCTAAAACATGGTGCATAATTAAGTTTATATTCCAATGATAGTGTGCACATCTTACCTTTACTACAAATATAATCAGCAGTGTTTTGATTTTATGTAACATTCCATTCGACTTGATTTAACGTTTTGTTGTTCCTTGTTTCTATTTTGTTACTGTTACACAAAATATCGGTTATCGATTATGTTAGTTTTGTCACTGTTATAAATTTTTTTCTTCAATTTCTATTTGTTGGTATTAAATTGAAAATAACTGAGTATAAAATATTATCACTGTACCGTTACCACGTTATTGTGTAATGACACCAGGGTGTTTTTTCGTCTAGATGAATCATTTAGGTAGACTTAGTCAAGCACATTTTTCATTAGAGACTGGTATCAACTGAAAAAGCTTTTTAAAATGAAGGACCACTGGTGATTCGTTTCGTCATTGGTCGAAATTATTCAGTGAAAACAACTATGTAGGAGGTGAAGCAATTATCACTGATAACAGTGGATGGTTGTCACAATAAGTGGAGAATAGATTGAGGTTAGCGCTGTAAACCATAGGATTTGGACTCATTAGTTTAAAGATATTTTGATTCTCATGCAATCTGAGTATATTGAGTTGTAATCCATGTGGAACTGTGAATATGTGTTCCAAACTTAAAAAAACACGTGTTATGTGGTCCTTACTTTTAAACGGTTATCCAGTCAATATATGATATGCTTTAGACGCACTATGCAAAAACAGAATAAATTTATATTAAAGAGGAAGAATGTATTTGTAAAATCTCAGCGAATGGATTTTGAAGTAAATCCAATGTTTCGCCTGGCAATCTGGTCCAAGCTTTTTCTTCCTCTTTAATGTCTCACATTAACTCGGCGCCGAAGTACTGTGAAACTATTAGAATAAATTTATCTTTAAAATTTAACTAGATAAGTTATTTTTCTTGCAGTCATAATATTTAGATAAGCTGACACTGATAATAGACTGATACTATAGAACGATCGTTTATACCCTTAGCAACTTTTTGCAATAAAAGTAAAAACAAATTTCATTTTAGTCAGCTTAGTAGATTTTATTATTAAGACATTGTGAATGTACTTCTACTAATAACATACTTAGTTTTAAATCATTGAATATCCCCAAAATATTACAGTTCCGTATAGACAGTAGAAAATATGAACTGGAGGAGAATCGTAGCATAAAGTATTATCACGTGGTATTCAGTATGATTGACTAACTTAGCCTCAAAATTAGATATAAGATATAACAAGATATTCATCTATGAGAAAACTTGCGGGAATGAAACTCTGACTATAGTTTTATTTAGTTTTAAATCAGGCTAAACAAAGATTCGCAATACGTTTACCAATTTAACACTGAGTTAGAAAAATACGGACTATTAGTTTACGATGCAGTAGTTAAACGGCGTTATGCTCACCGTAAGATCAGAAGAGTACAAGCTGAGGGTTATATTGACGCGTTCCAAATAAAATCGAAAAAACCGTCTACTGCTCTCCTATCTACAACTGTTTTCCAACTGTTGTCAATTCATGGTGTTTAAAATTAAAAATCTCCCATAAATAGTGAGTCCTACTTAAATGCGTCCATCAACATACCAGATACACAATACGTGTATATTTTGAAATGTTTATCCGTTAGACATAGAAAGACATGATTCCCTTGTATACAATGATGTCGTTTTTTGTCACTCATTTTCTCTCTATTCGATTATTTCATATTCGAAGTTGTCTAGGAATATCATTTGAAGTGTATTTTTATAGTATTGACCGTCATGTGCTAAAATGTATTTATTTTACATTATTAAGTTTATAAATGTTAATGAATAAAAATAAGTATAGTTTTACCAACTGATTTCATCACAGCAAACATCTTTTCCAATGTACACTAGTGTGATGAACTGAAAAATACTATTTGTAATCTACGCTATTTCAAATAAATATTTTCGTCCTGACATTTTTTAAAACAAAACAAACGTCTCGTCAACATTAAGAAGTTTTGTTTATAGTTTTAATTAACAGTAACGAACTTCATTAAATATAACAAATAATTTGTTTTTTCGGGAATTATTCAAATTTTGATAACTACAAATTAAGGTCAACTTCAGCATGATAGGCAAGGTGTATAATGGTTATCTGGATTGATCTTTCTTAATTACTCGGACAAGTATACGATACTTGGTTGTCACACTACTGAGGTGGCTGGGCAAGAATAACAAATTCATCAGTCGTCATTTATATTGATATAGGATGGTGTCCAGTATAGAACCAGCGTAGAAGGTCTCAAGGAGCGATCAGACCGTGAAGTTTTTGGCTGCCGGTCTGAGACCTATGAGATAATTTAGAATTCCTGGTTATGGTCTGCACGATCATTCCTGTATATGGTTGGAGATACTGAATGAGTGTCTTCGGGATTGTTTGTCGAGACAGATTTATTTATTCATTCATTCGATTATTTAAATCTGGATAATTTGTACCATTCATATTCATCCTCACTCAGTTGTATTTTTGAAGTTTACGACTCAACAATAATAGATATTATCTTTTCAAGTACTTTTCCTTTAGTTTCTTGTGGATTTTCTTTTCCGGTACTAGTGTAAACTTTGGTCAATGAACATTCGTTTATGACTGATTGATCGCTATTAGCAAAATGAGAATCATGTGTTTAAACGTAGTAACACATATATTACCGTAAAATAGAATTCCTTTTTGCGAGGTAAGCTTACTAACCGAACAACTAAACCTTCTCCTTTACTTTGGTGTAGGACGGACAGTAGTCAGTCAGCTAAAACGTAGGACCAGGCACATATATGCATCGGTCCAAGCTGCTATGCCTCATTAGCACAACAAGATGAACACCAAATACATTGAAGTAGTTAATTCAATGGTGGTAATATATGAAAGAAAGATTGCATATAAGGTTATAGTACAAGAAGAAAGAATTAGTTGGTAGAAAGAAAACTATGGAGCAATTTTAATCTCATTGTTCAAGGGAAGACAGAGAGTATATACACCTACGCCATTGTGATCGATTCTGAGCCATGTTACACAGAGTCTCCAACCATTGGTTACGATAGTCAAGCGGACCCCAACCGAGTAGTTCGCATCTACTAACATGACTCAGACTAGAAGTTATTGACCCCAAGCACTGATGCCACGTTATGGTTTGGCCTCCCCTAACTTTCTTCCCACCACCCCTACACTAGTCATTATTGCGCGTCGTGGTAATCGGTGTCCAGGCATACACAACACGTGGCCCAACCATCTCAGTCCATGAAGATTCACAACCTTATCAACTGATTTACCATCACTCCCCAATACCCTGCGTCCAGACTCACTATTACTTACCCGGTGATCCCAGCAGATGCCAGCAATACTTCTAAGACATATGTGGTCAAATACTAGTAGTTTACGAGTGTCTTCTACTCTTAAAGGCCACGTTTCGCAGCTGTAAAGTGGAACAGAACGAACTGCCGCGCAGTATACTCGTCCTTTAGTTGATGGACGGATATCTCGCCTTCGCCATAGTTGACGTAAGTTGGCAAAAGCCAAACGAGCTTTCGAATCCGTGCACAAAATTCCTCAGACACCAACCTATTAGGGTTGATCGGACTTCCAAGATAAGTGAAGTTGTCAACACGTTCGATTAATTCACTCCCTATCCTTAGTTCAGGCGTTGACGTAGGCCAGTCTTGAAGCAACATCACAATCATCCTGGTATTGTTGCTGTGCCCTACCAAAAGATTCTGCATTTTATCAGTGTCTTCACTCAACACGACTATGTTATCTGCGTATTCTAGGTCGATAAGTGGACCTCCTGGTAGCAGATCGATTCCTGAAAATCCAGTCGATGAGAGCGTTATTTCCAGCAGTAGGTCTATGATAAAGTTGAACAAAAATGGAGATAGTAGACAGCCTTGCCTGACATCACTTGAGGTTGCAAAATCAGATGACAATATAGTCAATTAACAAAACCTGAAAGCTGATTATTCTCAAAAAATCAAAACAACGATGTAACACTACCTA